GAATCCAACAAATGTCAATTATATTATCTTAACTTAGTTTGAGGAATTATTTATTACTACCTGGTTTTCCCCAAAAAATTTCTCAGAGGAAGAGCCAGGAGTGTAGTGAGAAGAGGAGAGGAGTTAGTCCATTATTTGAATGGACATTAACTCACACTGTATTTCTTATTTCTCTAGCATTAATTGTGTGCATGTACCATCATAATTAAGATGTTATTTTTAATACAACATAGTTATTTGTCGCCAAAAGTGAGCTTGGGGGTCGGCTGGGTTCTACTGGAATTAATCCCATATGTTCTGTATATTCACTTAACGCCATGTTCTTCACTTAATGCAGGACCCTGTCCACTTAATCAACTGCACATATATATATATCATATATATATATATTATATCACACACACGCAACTGCAAATATATATATATATATATATATATATATATATATATACATATATATATATATATGTATATATATACAGTGACCCTGCTTAATCTAACGCCTGTTAACTAAATTTTGTTAACGAACTGCTCTGTATGATCTTCAATTCGGTTAACTTAATCTACTTAAACCTCAACATGTTTTCGCCATACCTGACCGGGCAACCAACTTAGTATCAGTCCGCCAATATTAATCGTTCTAGGCTTAAATTCTTACTATTTTAGTAAATATCAAGAAGTTTACGTTATTCAATAATTTTAAAAGTTTAATATTCAATTTTTATTCATTTTAACAATTATTGAAGATAATTGAAGGTAAAGTGACAAGTTTAATGCGCGCATCCACTAACACAGCAAACAGGCATTAGTCTCTGTTTTCACTGGAGGTAACATCTTACTTGAGTCTCTTCAACTAAATGCTTTTTTCTGTGTTTCCAAGCAAATTATTGGTCATTTGAAATATATTTTACATATTGACAATATATAATGCAGTGCAGTGTTGATTTAAAGAAAAATAATCTTGAATTACACCAAGAGACTAAAATTTTATGGGTGAAAATGGTGCCAGGTGACTTTCCACCCCAATGCCTTCTCTTCCTCTCCTCCACCCCATTCTAATTCCCATCATCATCATCATCATCCAGAGCCTTTACATACACACCAAAAGTAAGTGAACTTTTCTACCATTTTGTTGAATTTAGGAAATTTCGTGAGCTGGAACCAATTACCCAAAACCCATTGAAACAATGGTTTCAAGGAAATCCTTTCAGTTAATCTAACGACCTTCTGAACGGATTGAGTTCGCAACCGAGGGTCACTGTATATATATAATTTGTGTAATAAATGTATGTAGGTATGTACAGTAATCTTTTTCACTCAAATCCTAATGAAACACTATTGAATTAGAATACTGTAGCTGGTTGAAGCAAGCTTATAAATTAAAGAAAATACTTGCAGTGTGTTTAATATATTACAGTATGTTATAAATAAATAAATAAACAAATAAATCGTAAATCCATTTCAAATAAATGAAACAATTGTATTCTTATAATCGACATTAGTTCAAGTTAAATAACAGACTTTTAAGTGAGTCACTAGTGTTTAACTACACCAACCTGTAACATTTGATGCCATTACTTGAAGTGAATTGGCCTTATTTTAAAAAACCAAGGATGTATAAACAGCACTGGTCAATGGGATGGTTGGTAAAGGACTACTGGGTCAGTAAGCTCCCAATGGTAGGTGTCACATTTGGGGTACCGGTCTTATACAGCGAATAGGGCTCAAAAGCTACTTTTTAAATGGAAATTTTGGGGGCCGTCTTATACACCCCGTCGCCTTGTAGGCCGCGATATACGGTATATATTTGTTATAACATACAGAATCCAACCAAAAAACTCGCCCAAAAGGAATACAGAATGGAGGTTATTGTAGGCATGTTGGATGGGTACTCTCTCAAGGAATCAAAACATCAGAGGAGTAGTGTAGCACTTTACATTAATTATTACCATAGTTTTGGGTCATGATTTATCATTCTGGAGGCAATTTTGGCAACATCTGAGTTCCTCAAACCACTTTACCTTAAGAAAACCTGAGATATATATATATATTTTTTACCTTTTTTCCATAAAAACATGATTTTCCACTAGATAACAACATTTCTAAGGAATATAAATGCCATATATGGAAAGACCAAGTTTTTTTCATTATAGAAAAGCAATAAAAAAGCTCAAAACAGCACTTTAATTTTTTGGTGACTTAATGACACTTTCCGGGAACAACCTTGAAATCGGACGGCGCGGTCAAAGGGTTAATCTTAAGAGTGCACCAGAAACTTTACTATTTTTAGTAATGACACAGAATTTGAAATTGCCACCCCAATTGCAACTGGGGTTGCAATTGTTGAGGCAACTAGATATGTCTGATGACAGTAAATGTGTTATTGTCAATTTGTAGGTGAAAGATTTTATCCTCAATAAATGTAGGTTAATATTTCACCTGTAGGCAAATGCTTAAAAAAAGCCTAAGTAAGGAAGCATATTACTTTAACACATAATATCTGACCAGCATGGGGAGGAGCATCGTGTCTCCGCCAGGGGGTCGTGGAGTGGTGGTCCAGCAGGCGTCATGTTTTTTTTGGGGGGGGGGGAGCCCACGGACATATATGCGATCGGACGTTGTTCGGTCGGACGTTAACCGGAGCATGACTGTACTTAAAACATATATATATATTTTTTTTTACATTAAATTTACTACAGCTACAACCAGGGTCTTATTTTCTTAAATTTTCGTGTAGAACTATTGTCCTGGACTCCCGGCTGTAAACACAAACGAAAACGATGGCGTTCCATCTCCTCTTGTGTGACCATATTATTATTAATTTTTATTGTATAAGGTGCATTCAGAAACATTATTTAAAGAATATAGTTTACAATTTTCATTAATTGTATTGTTTTGGGGGGAAAAGAGGGTAAAAAGCCACACAAAAGATATGAAAAGGTCACACTTGGGAACGCATCTCATTATTATTGCTATATTTTAATGGTAATTAATGATTCACAATAAGACGATTCACCTTACACTGCAATATTGGAGGATACATTTACGTCATTATTCGAGGCTTTACTGTACAGTATTACCCCGCTTTACACGGTTTCACTTTCCGCGATTTCTCATTTACGATTTCTCATTTACGCGGTACCTTGCCAGAACCGGACTTTCACTTTCCGCGGTGCATCTACTCATACGCGGTGAAGTATAATTTTTTTTTTTATTTAGCTCATAAAATTCATACAAATTACCTGGCCAGAATATAATTTACATTGCTGGAATTCTTACAATATGATGATCATTTTGAATATAAACATCATGGATTTTGCATTAGACATACAAATTTTAGATCTAATGTAATAATTTGGTTTACACAAAGCAAATATTTTATCCTTTGTGCAGAATATATGAAGTTTCCATTCAAAATATTCCCTGACCTGCAAGGAATCCAGAAATGTCAATTATGTTATCCTAACTTTAGTCTGAGTTATTATTTATTACTAAAAATGTAAATATACTATTTTCTCCCAAAGCTTCTCTGGTAGGGAGGGAAGGTGGGGGGTGGGGGGTAGGGAGGGAGAGAGGGAGGGAGGGAGGGAGGGAGGGAGGGAGGGAGGGAGGGAGGGAGGGAGGGAGGAGGAGGAGGGAGGAGGAGGAGGGACAGGACCCACCCAGCTAGGGCAGAGTATTTTGATTGACAGATAGTGTCCTCGAAGAATATTTCTTTGTTTATTTACTGATGATATATGTTTTAGCTCATAAAATTCATACAAATTACCCAGCCAGAATATAATTTACATTACTGGAATTCTTACAATATGATGATCATTTTAAATATAAACATCATGGATTTTGCATTAGACATACAAATTTTAGATCTAATGTAATAATTTGGTTTACACAAAGCAAATATTTTATCTTTTGTGCAAAATATATGAAGTTTACATTCAAAATATTCCCTGACCTGCAAGGAATCCAGAAATGTCAATTATATTATCCTAACTTTAGTCTGAGGTATTATTTATTACTAAAAGTTAAAATCTAGTTTTTCACCCAAACATTTCTCTGGTAGGGAGGGAAGGTGGGGGGTGGGGGGGAGGGTTGGGACCGACCGACCCAGCTGGCGTGAGTGTGAGGAGGGGGGGGAGGCAAGGTGGGGTACTTTGATTGACAGATAGTGTCGTGAAGAATATTTTTTTTTTATTACTGAAGATATTTGTTTTAGCTCATAAAATTCATACAAATTACCGGCCAGAATATAATTTACATTGCTGGAATTCTTACAATATGATGATCATTTTGAATATAAACATCATGGATTTTGCATTAGACATACAAATTTTAGATCTAATGTAATAATTTGGTTTACACAAAGCAAATATTTTATCTTTTGTGCAAAATATATGAAGTTTACATTCAAAATATTCCCTGACCTGCAAGGAATCCAGAAATGTCAATTATATTATCCTAACTTTAGTCTGAGGTATTATTTATTACTAAACGTTAAAATCTAGTGTTTTCACCCAAACATTTCTCAGAGAGGTAGGAGCGAGTGAGCTGGGAAGAGGGGGGGGGGGATTTGAGTCCATTATTTGAATGGACATTAACCTGGCGACTGTATTTCTCTTAAATATTAATTGTGTGAGCATACCATCATGAAAATTAAATGTTATTTTTACTACAACATAGGTATTGTGTCGGAAAAAGTGGAGTTTGGGGGTCGGGCCAGTCTCGATTGGAATTAATCCCATATGTTCTGTTGTTCACTTTACGCGGTACCCTGTGGGTTCAATTGACCGCGTAAATCGGGTACTACTGTATTAGAGAACGATACTTAAGTAAAAGCACTAAAATGTTTGAGTACTTTTTAAAATGTAAATACCCACAAATATTATTCAAGTACAGTACCCATGTGAATTTATTTATTTACTTTACAACTCTGATGCCAGGGTAATTGTAAGAACCTGCCATTTTTATAAGAAAGTTGATTAATTAATTTCTATAATGTCAAAATGAAGAATCACTTAATTGAGAAAAGTGAATGAAATATGATGCATTAAAGTATGTATTGTTTGCTTTTGTATCACCATAATTCTTAATGAATGTTCAAACACCCTTACATGCTTGTGTCTGGAGGAAACTGCCAAAGTGCGCTGGTCCTCCAGAAAGGCTGCATCAGTCACCCAAACAGGAACTCGCAACTCTAGCATGTCTGGTTTCACCTGAATGAAAGAAAGAAAGATTAAATAAAAAAAATTCTGTTATTAGAAGATGCATGCAAGTGAAACAAGTGTAAATCAGTACACAAAAAAGTAAAAAATATTGTGAGAAATATATGTGAAGGGTGTAAACTGATGTCAGCCTATAGGATAATGATAGACTGAAAGAGCAGTACTACTACAGGGTATATAAATACAGTACAGTATAGATTAGAGGTACAGTTAAGACCCAGAGAACCAGACTATTTAAACCACAGCGATGTTGTTAATTAGACGGAATCTGTTATTCATATCAGCAGGGAGGCACAACTGTTCAAAACAACAGTCAGAATATTACAGTAACATAAAGTTTGACTAATATAAGCTCATAATAAATAAGTTTAAGTAAAATGATCATACTTATGATATACTTTCAGTTAATTCAATTGTTGTTATCTAAAGTGTTAATAGATGTAGGTAAGGTTCTTGATTGTAGAAGCTTTCAGAGCAGCAGAGAAGATATTTTAAGGTTACTAAGTTCCGACGTATGTGTATATGGCATGGATGGCCTTGTGGTAAAGTGGGTGATGTGGATGTGTACAATAAACCCTGTACTGTATCATATAGATTTTATAGATCTTTTGTTTTTTAAATATTTATTTTTTTAACCAAACTTTTAGATAAAGTATTTTGGTAAAAAAATGATGTCTAGCTTAATTAGAACTGATTTTATTGTCTCTAGAGACTCCATGAATGGAGCTGTGTTTTACAGCAGACAGTGTGGTATTTTCTACGAGTCTAAATGATACATCTGGCAGGAGCATACTACTGTACTACTATACTGCATCAACCAGCAGATTCTGCCATCTTTAGCCTAAAGTAGGCAGACACTTCAATCAGCTGATTACATAACTGTAATCATGTCTTAAAATTTGGGATGGAGGTTGGGTGGGGAATTATTGGGTAGTGTACTGATCTGATGCAATGTCAGGTCACCCATTGTTGGGTGGGGGTATAGTGGGCCTAATGACCTAAAGATATCTTGAATAAAGACAAAAGCTAAGGTATTTTTGACATGCGAGGCAGTTAACAAAAAGTGTATAAACTTTTATTCCCAACATCTGTTGTTATTGTGTTAGAGAAATGAATTCCGTACCATTGCACACATGGAAACGCATTTCTGATGACATTATATTTTACCGTATATATTCGTCTATAATTCTACCTTGCTTATAGGTCGACCCTGATTTTTTGACCAAGAAATCATTAATTTATGATATGCCTCATTAATAGGTTGACCCAAATTCTTGAGGGTAATAGAACAGCAAAACCTTCACTAAAAACAATCTACATCCTATAAACTGAGGGTCGCCGTGCCTGAAACACCGAGCGCCGAAGGCAAATTGTTTACCAGTATTATGACACTTTACAATGAAACGCGGGTAGTTTCAGCAAAAATATTGTATATTTCCATTCATGTATTTATTCAAGTCAATTAGGAGGGAATCTTATTGTAATACAACAGCTTTTTTAACTGAAAACCATTCGAAAAACGATTACGGTAACATCTTTTGAACAACGAAAGAAAACTAAAGTCGATTGTTTTCGTTATGATTTTATCCCACTTTCCACTGTAATATGTACGTCATTTCAGAAAAAAATATTACATTTCCGTAAATGTATTATCTCAAGCACAGTATGAATAGAATATCATTTTAATATAATAGTATTTTCACCGAAAACTATTAAAAAAACGAGTAACATCTCTTGAACATCTGAAGGTTAGGTAAAGTCTTTTGTTTTCGTCATGTATTTTATCCTATTTTACATTGAAATACATCACGTTTCAGCAAAACTATTATTTATTTCCGAGAATATATTCATTCCGGCACAGTTAAGGCAAAATATACTTGTGATGTAACAGTTTTTTAACTGAAAACGATTAAAAAAACACGTACCGTCTAGCTGATTCTCAACAGCGGGTGGTGCGTCGTGCATCGTTGTAAACAATATGAGGTTGAGGTGGATTACCAGGTATTATATTGTGTGAAATATCGAAAAGGTTTTTATTACCGGTCTTTTTTGTAGATCAATGGGTTTTTAGGAAAGTCTTCGAGGTAGTAGATAATGACGAAAATTACAATGTTATTTACTTAAGACTTTAGCAAAGCATTTGACAGAGTATCACATCAGAGGCTTCTGAGAAAAGTTAAGGCTCATGGTAACGAGGGGAAAGTTTTAAATTGGATAAAATCATGGCTCATCGATAGAACGCAGAGGGTCAGCGTAGATGGTGTTAAATCTGAGTGAGGCTGTGTTACCAGTGGGGTTCTCCAGGAGTCAATACTAGGCCCACTCTTGTTCATAATCTACATAAACGATCTAGATACTGGGATCAGCAGTGACATAAGCAAGTTTGCGGATGACACCAAAATAGGGCGGGAGATTAATTCAGGGCAGGATGCAAATGCACTACAGGAGGATCTAAATAAACTGCAGGGGTGGTCTAAAAATTGGCAAATGAAATTCAACACCATCAAGTGCAGCGTACCTAATATTGGAAGAACAAATACTGTCAATGTATACAGCCTTAACAACATCAACCTAGAGAAGTCGACTTGTGAAAGAGACCTAGGGGTACTTGTAAGCCCGGACCTACAGCCTAGAAAACAGTGCGTTAATGTTCGAAATAAGGCAAACAGAGTATTGAGTTTTATATCTAGAAGTGTAAGTAATAAGAGTGCAGAGGTCTTATTGCAACTATATCTTGAGCTAGTCAGGCCGCACCTCGTGCCCTTATTATACAATGGATATCAATTCACTAGAGTCAGTGCAGCGAAGAATGACCAAAATGATCCAGGGACTTAGAAACCTTCCATATCAGGATAGGTTAAAGAAACTAAACTTGCATTCCCTAGAAAGACGAAGAGTGCAGGGAGATATGATAGAAGTATTTAAGTCGGTGAAAGGAATCAATAAAGGGGATATAGATAAAGTTCTTATAATATCCGAGCAGGATAGGACTCGGAGCAACGGATTTAAGTTGGATAAGTTTAGGTTTAGGAGGGAGATAGGAAGGAACTGGTTCACAAATAGGGTGGTGGACAAGTGGAACAAGCTTAGCAACTTTGTAGTAAGTGCTGGAACGGTGGAAAGTTTCAAAAGGAGGCTGGATAGATTCATGGATGATAGAGAGTGGTAGTGACTCTCGACAGGAGCTGCCATGCACAGGCCAACAGGCCTATTGCAGACTCCTTATTTTCTTATGTTCTCATGATAAGTTAGCCTGTGCTAAGAACTTCAACATACACTACTGAAAGCACGTTGTAAGGTAAGTTAGCCTATTTTAAGTTGGTGAGCCTCATCTGCTGAAGGCACTGCACAGCTTTTCATTACTAATTGGTACATAATTTACGTTTCCATTGTTTACTGGCAGTAAATGGTAAATATTTTTCATGTCTAAAGCTAAAAGTTGCTCCTCGCCCTTCCCATCATGCACAGATTCAACCTAACAAAACTATTACCCAAGTAGAGGTCGACTCCCAGTTTTTTGCCTAAAAAATTGGTCTTAAAAACTCGAACTACACACGAGTATACAGGGGTATACGGTACTTATGAAGTACTGTATATACCCTGTACTTAGTTCTGTAGTATATATGAAGTGTACAGGTATTAATTAAGCGCAGATTATTACAGTAATGTATCTTTAAACATTAATGAATATCAAAAAAACAATATTGTGTCATGACTGAGGCAGGAGTTGTTGACAAACACTTTGTGAGAGGCGACCCTTTGCGGGAGGGAGGGGGGTTGGGGAGGGAAGCGGTCACATTTACCCGCATTCGCTCTAAACTTCTAATTGTGATAGGGATATGAATTTGATACCACAATGATCCTGAATAAATTTTCTATAAGACATTTCCAATAAGATATCCATATATAAAATATTTCGACATTACAGTCGGCCCTTCACATACGCGGGTTTAGCATTCACGGATTCGCAAATACGCGGATTGCCCCGCCGGAGGAATATTCTGTACATTGAAGTAATTGAAGTACATTCAAATCGCGCGCCATTCAACTCGCGCGCGGTACCGAACACAGGACACTGCCCGCTCCCGCAACCTCACACACACACACGCATAGCTCTCCCTCACTCAGTCAGTCTCGCTGTAACCACGCTTGTGTTGACATCAGCATTGTAGTTGCAAAAATATTACATTTCCGTGAATGTATTATATCAAGCACAGTATGAATAGAATATCACTAATATAAGAGTATTTTAACCGAAAACTACTAAAAAAACGAGTAACATATCTTGAACATCGGAAAGTTAAGTAAAGTCTCTTGTTTTCGTCATGTATTTTATCCTATTTTACATTGAAATAAATCACGTTTCAGCAAAACTACCATTTATTTTTGAGAATATATTCATTCAGGCACAGTTTAGGTAAAATATACATGTGCTGTAACATTTTTTTAATTGAAAACGATTCGAAACACACGTACCAAGAAATAACGTTGGAGAAGTTGGGGGAGATGACCAGGATGATTGAGGCACTGAAAAACCTGGCCTATAGTATGGACCCCTCCATGGTGCGTGCCCTGAAATTCATGCGAGGGATGGATGATGCTTTTGTTCCATACAAAAACATCATGGAAGAAATGAAAAGAAAGAGACGACAACTCCCCATCACCATGTTCTTTGATCACCGAAGGAGAGATTCAACACCATCAATAGCTGGCGGCAGTGAGGAAGCAGCTGAATCCACCGTCGCCCCCACTTCACCACCTGTTATGGAATTGAGTGATGATGAGCCCGATGACCCCCGCCCTGTCGCCGATGAGAGGTACGGTACAGTAAAGTGAAATTCTCATCTCTTTTTTTTAATAGCTTTTCTTGCCATGTTTATTGTTTGTAAAAATGCACAGCACAGTACAGTTCAGTACTGTACATAGGAAGTGGAGGTGCAGTTATTCACAAAACATTTGTGTTTGTTGTCGGCAGTAGTGACGGTGAGGAGGTAGAGGTGGAGGAGGGAGCGAGTTGGGAGGAGTGGTGAGGTGACCTTGGACGCGAGAGCAGGGACGAGTGGAGATGCCAGCCAGTATATTTTGGGTGTATTAATTGTTTTTATAGCTATTTTTGCATTTTAATATTAAATACTGTACATTACGTTTCAACAAAACTACCATTTATTTCTGAGAACAAAGAAATGTAATATTTTTGCTGAAATGATGTACGTATTACAGTGGAAAGTGGGATAAAATTGTGACGCTAAGCAATGACTCTCTCTCTCTTTCTTTCGTTCAAAAGATGTTGCCGTAATCGCTTTTCGAATGGTTTTCAGTTGTGGGATTATAAGGCTAATGATAGGATAGAATATTATTGTAATGCAGTACGAGTACAGTACAACAGTTTTTTAACTGAAAACCATTCGAAAAGCGATTACGGTAAAATCTTTTGAACAACGAAAGAAAGCGAAAGTCATTGTTTTCATAATTTTATCCCACTTTCCACTGTACAGTAATATGTACGTCATTTCAGCCAAAATATTACATTTCCATATTTATTTCTGAGAATATATTCATTCAGACACAGTTAAGGTAAAATATACTTGTGATGTAATATTTTAATGAAAATACGGTATCGTAGTTGTCTTTTGTATCAAATTTAATTAACAAAGATTGATGTTTCAAATGTAATGAACAAAAATTTATGTACAGTATCTATAAATAAATTTTAACAAATGAATACTTTGTTTTACATCGTCCTGTGTATACCATACCATGGATTTGGCTACTTTGGGCTAGCTATGATGACGCAAGAGGCTGCCCTGGTGACTGTACCGACACTCACAGCTGGTGGTGCGTTGGTGCGTCGTTTCCATTGTTTACTGGTAGTTACTGGTAAATATTTTTCAACCTAACGAAACTATTACCCTTTTAGAGGTCGACCCCCAATTTTTTGCAAAATAATTTGGTCTTAAAAACTCGAACTACACACAGGTATATACGGTAAATAAGGACATGGGGGGCCAGGGTTTTTTAGGGGGGCAGCAAAAGTACACGGATTTTTAACATTCACGGGTATCTCTGTTACCTATAATCCCCGCGTATGTTAAGGGCCGACTGTATATGATGGGGATTCCATTCATTTACATAAAAAAAAAATGTAAGAAATGTTGATACCAGAGTCAATAAACTCAGTTCTAATTAAGTTAAACACACCATTTTTTTTACCAAAATAATCCTGAATACTTTCTTTTTTTTTACAGGGATTAGCCCACCCGGGTACAGGGCACTGACCCACATTGGGACCTGGGGGGTGAAAATGTAATAATAATAATGATAACACTAATAATAATAATTCAGACCAGTAAATTTTATAATAAAAAATAACAAAAATAAAATAATTAAATAAATATATTTTAAAAACAAAAGCTCTACATGATATGGGCATGAATGGACCTGTGTGTTACAGCAAAGACAGTGGTATTTTCCACCCATCACAGGAAAATGCCATGAGTCTTAACGATGTATCTCGCTGGAACTGTATTTATTTACACAAACACCACTGTACATGTACAATTATCATTTGTATTGTAAACAAAATAATGTATACTAGTGTACTACTATACTGTATATGCTGAACTCACAAGCAGACATTGTTCACTCAGCTGACTGTAATACTTAACTGTAATCATGTCTTAACACTTGCGATGGAGGTTGGGAGGGAGATTAGTGGGTCATGTTACTGACCTGACCTGATGATATATCAGGTCACCCACTGTAGGGGTGGGGGATTAGTGGGTCTTATGACAAGAAAAGTCTTGAAAACAGATGAAAAGTTCTTTGTTGACATAGTGTGGTTACAGCACTTGTCTGCCTCCATATTGGTGTATTGACATAATCCACACAAAACTATGAGAAGAAAAGGCAGCTACCAAACAGGGAGGTACTACCGCCTGGGAAGATATTGGAAGCATAATGTGTTGTCTAATGGTAGACCCTGCTGTCATATGGCATCATGAAAATTGTGACCAAGTCCCAGGTTGCTGATCTGACGTTTTGCCTCATTTACACACAATTATGGGGTCTCAATTGTTTCTCTTACTACTGACAACACAACATATATACTGTATATTGTTTCTCACTAAATTTTTTTTCAATTTGTATTTCTTTATGGTTCTTTGTTATTATTATTATTATTATTATTATTATTATTATTACATTTTCGCCCTCTAGGCCCCGATGTGGGTCAGTGACCTGTGCCTGGGTGGGCTAATCCCCGTAAAAAAAAAAAAAAAACTACTTTTTGTACAATATCTGTTACTGTACTTTTTTATCTATTATGTATAATGTACAGTGATCCCTTGGTTAATGAGTGCCTCGGTTCACGAGATTTCGGCTAACGAGTTACCTTCCATAAGATTCTTAACTTCGGTTAACGAGCAATCCCTCGATTAACAAGTCGACCTCAACATGTTTTCGCTTGCATTCGGCGGTCCACCAGCTGTAGTATTAGTCCGCCAATACAGTAATCAGTTTTAGGGCTTAAATTCCTGACTATTTTCGTTAATATCAAGAAGTTTATACTATTCAATAATTTTAAAAGTTTTATATTAATTTTTTTAGTCATTTTAACAATTATTGAACATAATTGAAGTATAGGAAGCTAGTTTTTTGCCCGCCATACAGCCTGTCAACACACCATACAGGCGTCAGTCTCTGTGTCTTTTCACTGGAGGTAACATCTTGCTTGAGACTCTCTTCAACTAAATGCTTTTTTTCTGAGTTTCCAGTCAAATTATTGATCATTTTAAAATATATTTTACATATTAACAATATATAATGCAGTGCAGTGTTGATTTAAAGAAAATAATCTTGAATTACACCAAGTGAACTAAAATTTTGTGGGTGAAATGGTGCCATGGGGTGACTTCTCTTCCACCCCAATGCCTTCTCTTCTCCCTTCTCCTCCACCCCATTCTAATTCCCATCATCATCATCATCATCCAAGAGCCTTCTACATACACACCTCAAAGTAAGTGTACTTACTACCTTTTTTGTTGATTTTAGGCAATTTTCGGTGAGCTGGAACCAATTACCCAAAAACCCATTGAAACAATGGTTTTGGTGAACGAGCAACCTTCTAGAACGAATTGTGCTCGTTAACCGAGGGACCACTGTATAGTGTTTATTAGAGCAGGTTTGCAATAGTTATGGTCTCTGGAACCTAACCCGTAAGTTATCGTCCAGCAGTGCCATTTTCCATTGGGATATGTAAACCGAGACTGTGTTGTTACTGTTTTGTAAATAAAATGTGCCCTATGGAGAGTTTCTGACAGTAAGCTATGGTAGTCATTCACAGAGAAAAGGAAGCTTTCATTCGATGCACCAAAGCTAAGAGCTGCAGATATATATGAGTTTCCTTTAACTCCGATTTCTAACCTTTCCTGAACAGTGAAATAACCACAAAACAAAGACCACACCACACAATGGCAGGTTAACATACATGCATACAGAAAGAAACACACACACACCTAACCTAACTTCTTCTGCGAATTGCTGTTTGATACCACAACCGCATCCAACCCATACGAGCACGTACTGATCGCTATAAGAACAGCCCAGTCCCAACCATTGTAAAAATTATCAATAACTTGTAATCAACCAGTGTATTCACTCCCAGTTAGTCTTACCTTTTAGCACTGTCACTATGTAGTATGACCTTCTCCCCACCTTGTTATTATATATCGTATTTGTATCACTTAAGTTACCTGTATATTATTTGTCAAGCAAGAGACCCATTCCCCAATTATGTGACTGTATATTTTCAGCCTTCCGGCTGCCATGCTCTTTCAATAAAGAGTTAATTATTATTACACACACACAAACACCTGAACACATCCAAGCATTTGACAAAATTTAATTGTAACAGACCACATACATTCTTGGCTTTAAATGTGGGCTCCTCTGGGTGTTGTAAATCCCACAACTGAAGATCATTTTCTTTCCCTCCTGTGGCAATTAAACTTGGTGTTCCTGGATTCTGTCTCATAGTTGTCAAAAATTCACCTGACGTTAAGGCATTTATCTCAACTGGTACTTTCCCTCGCCAAAGTGTCACCTGACCAGACTTGACGGCAGAAATAGTTATGCTGAAAAGAAAACAACTGTCAAAAATAGTCAAAAATCAGTAAAAATGGGACTAAACTTACCTCATTATTTATTAATTAAAAACACATACAGAATGAACCTACAAGTCGGAAACTCTGGCAAACCCTCAATAATGGTGGCTGGGATTAATACATAGATTAAGCATATCTTCCCAATGTAACCAAAGCTCCTAAAATGGGATATTATAAGGATGTCGCCACTTAAAATCAAACACCTTGTGGTTTATAAACAGCTTAAGGCATCAACCTTTTTAGAGAAGGTCCAACCTTTGGGAGCAATAGCAAATAATATTATAGCCAAGACACACACCTATTTAATTAATTGGCAGTCTTTTTTTTTTTTTTTAAGAATTCGAGTTAACGGTCACAGCAGAGCTCAGGAGCTTGATCTTTTTGAATGGGTTTTCTGTGAAACAGTTTATCCATTTCATTAATCTTTCCATATCTTTCTTTGTTCCAAACAGAGAGATAAGTACAGTATATTTCACCATTGATGTTTCTTCATAAGCAGACTGCTAATTGAAGATTAGAGTCAGCTAATGGGATGTTTTACTGTATCAAGTGGAATGTGCATCATACAAGAACTTTGAACATAATTACAGTAAGATCCCCATAAGTCAGACATTTGTACGTTGGAAACACCCATAAGATGAGTTCTGGCTTGGGGGGGGGGGGTATGTGGCGGCAGTTCCTGCATGTTTGTGACCACTGCTCTGCGCACTCTGGGTTTTTATTCGTATTTAGTGCTTCCTTAGCGTAGTATTATAGCCTCTAAACCAAGTAATATTAAAACACCATTAATGAGGACCACCGAGAGAAAAGGAATGGTGCTCAGAACTCTACTAATTGAAGAGAAACTGAAGATATGACAGAATTGATGCTGGGATCTCCATGAACATCCGTGAAGAGTTTGGGCTGAAATGGAGTATTTTTCAATTATATCAGCCAGATTTAAGTGTAATTAAATGAAGGTGTAATTGAATATAAGTGTGAATACACTATTGTATAAGCATTGTACAGAAGGCCCCCCAAATTTGGGGGGGGGAGGATTACGTTCTCAAAATGGTCATCGCCAAATTCGCAAATAACATTTGCTGGGGGGTTACTGGTGCACACACAAAAAAAAAATGAATATTCCCTTTATATGTATGCCTCAAGGAAAATTATTTCTTTTACCTGTATTGTATATACAGTTGTACCCCACTTAACGCGGTCAATAAAACCCAGAGGGTACCGTGTTAAGTGAACAACAGAACATATGGGATTAATTCCAATAGAAACTGGCCCGACCCCCAAACTCCACTTTTTCCGACACAATACCTATGTTCTAGTAAAAATAACATCTTAATTTTATGATGGTACATGCACACAATTAATACTTTAGAGAAATAGAGAAATACAGTCGCCAAGTTAATGTCCATTCAAATAATGGACTCTACTCCCTCCCCCTCTTCTCACAGTACACTCGCTGGCTCTTCCCTCTGAGAAATTTTGGGGGGAAAACCAGGTATAGTAATAAATAATTCCTCAAACGAAAGTTAGGATAATATAATTAACATTGCTGGATTCCTTGTAAGACCAGGAATATTTTGAATACAAATGTCATATATTTTGCACAAAAGATAACATATTTACTCAGAATAAACTTTACATCTAAAATTTGTATGTCTAATGCAAAATCTATGATGTTTATATTCAAATGATCACCAAATTGTAAGAATTCCAGCAATGTAAATTATATTCTGGCCGGGTAATTTGTATGAATTTTATGAGCTAAAACAAATATCTTCAGTTAATAAAAAAAAATAATATTCTTCACAACACTATCTGTCAATCAAAGCACCCCACCTTGCCTTCCCCCTCTTCCAGCCGCGCGGTCAGTCCCAACCCTCCCCCCCACCCCCTACCAATCCTCCCTTCAAGAGTTTTTAACATTTAGTATTAAATAATACCTCAGATTTAAGTTAGGATAATATAATTGACATTGCTGGATTCCTTGTAAGACCAGGAATATTTTGAATATAAACGTCATATATTTTGCACAATAGATAACATATTTACTCAAGAGTAAACATTACATCTAAAATTTGTATGTCTAATGCAAAGTCTATGATGTTTATATTCAAAATGATCATCAAATTATAAGAATTCCAGCAATGTAAATTATATTCTGACCGGGTAATTTGTATGAATTTTATGAGCTAAAACAAATACAGTTGTACCCCACTTAACACGGTCAATAGAACCCAGAGGGTCCCGTGTTAAGTGAAATCCGCGTTAAGTGAACAACAGAACATATGGGATTAATTCCAATAGAAACCGGCCCGACCCCCAAACTCCACTTTTTGAAGGCACATACCTATGTTGTAGTAAAAATAACATCTTAATTTTATGATGGTACATGCACACAATTAATACTTAAGAGAAATAGAGAAATACAGTCGCCAAGTTAATGTCCATTCAAATAATGGACTCAACTCCCTCCCCCTCTCACACTACACTGCCGGCTCTTCCCTCTCAGAGAAATTTTTGGGGGAAAACCACTAAATTTTAATAAATAATACCTCAAACTAAAGTTAGGATAATACAATTGACATTGCTGGATTCCTTGTAAGACCAGGAATATTTTGAATATAAATGTCATATATTTTGCACAAAAGATAACATAGTTACCTAGAGAAAAATTTTTATTTAAAATTTGTATGTTTAATGCAAAATATATGATGTTTATATTCAAAATGATCACCAAATTATAAGAATTCCAGCAATGTAAATTATATTCTGACCGGGTAATTTGTATGAATTTTATGAGATAAAACAAATATCTTCAGTTAATAAATAAAAAATAATCTTCACGACACTATCTGTCAATCAAAGTACCCCACCTTGCCTCCCCCCCTCTTCCAACCGCGCGGTCAGTCCCAACCCTCCCCCCCACCCCCCACCAATCCTCCCTTCCAGAGTTTTTAACATTTAGTATTAAATAATACCTCAGATTAAAGTTAGGATAATATAATTGACATTGCTGGATTCCTTGTAAGACCAGGAATATTTTGAATATAAATGTCATATATTTTGCACAAAAGATAACATAGTTAATTTGAGAAAAATTTTTATCTAAAATTTGTATGTCTAATGCAAAATATATGATGTTTATATTCAAAATGATCATCAAATTATAAGAATTCCAGCAATGTAAATTATATTCAGACCGGGTAATTTGTATGAATTTTATGAGCTAAAACAAATATCTTCAGTTAATAAAAAAAAAAAATAATTCTTCACAGGGTAACAGATGGTCGGTCAGTCCCTCCCTCCCCCCCACCCCCCACCAACCGTCCCAAGGAGATGTGTGGAATAACCACTAAATTTTAATAAATAATACCTCAAACTAAAGTTAGGATAATATAATTGACATTGCTGGATTCCTTGTAAGACCAGGAATATTTTGAATATAAATGTCATATATTTTGCACAAAAGATAACATAGTTACTCTGAGAAAAATTTTTATCTAAAATTTGTATGTCTAATGCAAAATATATGATGTTTATATTCAAAATGATCACCAAATTATAAGAATTCCAGCAATGCAAATTATATTCTGGCCGGGTAATTTGTATGAATTTTATGAGCTAAAACAGGCAGTCAGGCAGGGTGGCGGGTGGGGCAAATCTAAAAATAGCGTCTCGAGCCGGACACTCACCGCGTATATGTGGAAAAAATCCGTGTTAAGTGAAAGTTCAGCTCTGGCGAGGCACCGCGTATATGATAAAACGCGTTAAGTGAAACCGCGTTAGGCGGGGTAATACTGTATCTTCAGTTAATAAAAAAAATATTCTTCACTGTAACAGATGGTCGGTCGGTCGGTCCCTCCCTCCCCCCACCTCCCGTCTCACCAGATGTATGGGAAAACCCAGAATATTTACCTTTTAGTAATAAATAATACCTCAAACTAAAGTTAGGATAATATAATTGACATAGCTGGATTCCTTGAAAGCCCAGGAATATTTTGAATACAAATGTCATATATTTTGCACAAAAAATAACATATTTACTCAGAATAAACTTTATATCTAAAATTTGTATGTCTAATGCAAAATCTATGATGTTTATATTCAAAATGATCATCATATCGTAAGAATTCCAGCAATGTAAATTATATTCTGGCTGGGTAATTTGTATGAATTTTATGAGCTAAAACAGGCAATCAGGCAGGGTGGCGGGTGGGGCGAATCTAAAAATAGCTCTCGAGCCGGACACTCACCGAGTATATGTGGAAAAAACCCGCGTTAAGTGAAAGTTCAGCTCTGGCGAGGCACCGCGTATATGGTAAAACGCGCTAAGTGAAACCGCGTTAGGCGGGGTAATACTGTACAGTATATGTGTGAGTGTGCGTAGACACACACATACAAATAAATAATAATGGGAAAATAACCTCACAAATAATCAGAACATATTTATTAAAAATGTGAGTCTACCCTCAAGTCCGTGCTTTATTGATAAAGCCAGGATTTAAGTGTAGACTGTCACATTTCTAATAAACTTATTTCTGACTATATATATATATATATATATATATATATATATATATATATATATATATATATATATATATATATATATATATATATATATATATATATATATATATACATATACATATATACAGTCAACCCTCACTTTACGCGGTTAATGTAACCCACAGGGTACCGCGGAAAGTGAGAAACGCGTAAAGTGAATAACATAACATATGGGATTAAATGAAATAGAGACCAGCTGACCCCCAAACTCCACTTTTTCCAACACAATACCTATGTTCTAGTAAAAATAACATCTTAATTTTATGATGGTACATGCACACAATTAATACTTAAGAGAAATAGAGAAATACAGTCGCCAAGTTAATGTCCATTCAAATAATGGACTCAACTCCCTCCCCCTCTTCTCACACTACACTCGCTGGCTCTTCCCTCTCTGAGAAATTTTGGGGGGAAAACCACTAGATTTTAAGGT